TGGAGCCCTGTGCTTTTCACAGATGAGAGCAGGTTCACCCTGAGCATGTGTGACAAATGTGAAAGGGTCTGGAGAAGCCGCGGAGAACGTTATGCTGCCTGTAACATCATTCAACATGACCGTTTTGGTGGTGGGTCAGTGATGATCTGGGGAGGGATATCCATGGAGGGACGCACAGACCTCTACAGGCTAGGCAATGGCATGCTGACTGCCATTAGGTATCGGGATGAAATTTTTGGACCCATTGACAGACCCTACGCTGGTGCAGCTGGTCCTGGGTTCCTCTTGGTGCATCACAATGCCCGGCCTCATGTGACGAGAGTATGCAGGCAGGTCCTGGAGGATGAAGGAACTGATACCATCGAATGGTCCCCACGCTCACCTGACCTAAATACAATAGACCTCTTGGTTATCATTTTTAGTCCATCTGACACCGCCAGGTTGCACCTCAGACTGTCCAGGAGCTCAGTGATGCCCTGGTCCAGATCTGGGAGGAAATACCCCAGGACACCGTCATCTCATTAGGAGCATGCCCCCAGGCATTGTCAGACATGCAAACAAGCACATGAGGGGCCATACAAACTACTGAGTACTGTTTTGAGTTGCTGCAATGAAATTTCAGCAAAATGGACTAGCCTGCTGCATAATATTTTCACTATTCAGGGTGTCTTTGAATTCAGTCCCCTGTAGTTTGATAATTTTCATTTCCATCAAACAATGGGGCATCTTTAAGTTCATAACACGTTACTCAGTCCATATCAGTATAGATATCCAGTATATTTTTCCCCATTGAGATCTGATGTGTTTTCAAAGCGTTCCTTTAATTTTTTTGAGCAGTGTATATTATTATACAGTATTTATACTGTATATAAGCATATCCTACACTGTTTTGTATCAGCCATGGCTAGGGACTAATCATCCGAAATGCATTGGCTGTTTTTGGCAATGTACATGTTCCTTCAATAAAGAGTTATACTTTTTGGATGTCATCCTGAGTGCCAGCCATCCTTGTCTTCACACATGAACAAAAATAAAACCTTGCAGGATGGGTTTATGGGTTTGGGATAAATACTTCTCTGGAGTGGAGTGTTAAAGCCCCACTCCGGACAAAACTTTTTCTGTCTAGTCTTTTCAACAGCCTTATGTGGTAAAAGCAGATATACTTAAAGGGTTAATTAACCTTTACCGAAAAAAAAAAAAAAAAGCCTATGCAGATAACCGGTGTCTGTAGATAAAAAAAAAAAAAAACTGTGCAGCTCTGACTAAAGTTGCATAATGCTCTTACTATAGGTGGATGCAATTTACATACCTCCTAAAGCTTGAGTGGAATACTCCCAGGACATTGCTGGGTGAGGCCTAGTCATTACTGCTCACCTCCACCATCACAGGAGTGAGATTCAAATGCTGAGCTCAGAGAAAAAGCAAGTAAGGGAAAATGAATCAGAGAAAAAAGCTCACTATTGCGATTGAGGTGGTGAATAGTAATGACTAGGCCTCACTTAGCAACATCTTGGGAGTATTCCAGTCAGGCTTCAGGAGGTACATAAATGACCTACACCTATAGCAAGGACATTATTCATCTTTAGTCAGACTGCACAATTTATATCTATCTTCAGACACCCCTTACCTGTACAGATAGTGTTTTTGCGAAGGTGAGCTAACCCTTTAAAGGAGAACTATAGGCAAAACTTTTTTTTTCATTTCGGATAGAGTGAGGGTTATAACCTCTGTCAGATTTTTATTTCCGCCATCTGCATCCCATTGCAGAGATCTCCCTTCACTTTCTCTTCCACAGTCAAACAGGAAGTGAGAGGAAATCCATGCAAATTAAGGGAACTCCTTGAGGACCCCCAGGTCACCAGAACTAGTGTGCCCATTGGAAAACTTTCCCCCTTTTACTTTTCTGGGGACAACCAAAATTTGGGATTTTCTTTTACTTTCAATAATGATAAAGAGGAAAAATAGAGAGGTGAATCTCCTTAAGGGGGACACAGACAGCAATAAAAACTGACATGTGTTGTAATTCCTCTCCGCTCTATCCAAAACTAAGAAAAAAGTTTTGCCTTTAGTCATACTTTATCCTGGGTTCACACTATGCGGTGCGGGACACTGTATATAATGTTTGCACTGTACAAGCAAATGTCTGTGCGGTGCGATTTGAGCCATACATTTTGTATGGCTCAAAACGCATCCGTACCAAAAAGGTGCAGATCCCTTTTTTAAAACCGCACCTGAAACACACTGCATGGGTGTTCTCACCCATGCAATTTCTGGCAATCACATCGTGTTGTGCAATCTGTTTCGGGGTGTCATGAATTTATCTTTGACATCTGCAGCAGATTGTGTGAACGTGATGCAATTGCAATGCGGTGTGGGAAACGCACAAGATTTGCAGCTGCATTGGTGTGAAAGAGGAACTAAAGGCAGCAATACCCACCTGGTCCGGTCCCTCACTGGCATCATTTCTGTTTATAGTTTTCGGCTGTCTTGGTATGCCAGCATGACATGACATCACTCCTATACATGTGCATTAAGCCGTCATTCCGGCACAGAGGTATCTGGAAAGTTGTCTACATACCAGGGATCGCTGAGAGCAGGTAGGTGGGTTTCATCCGAGGTCTTCTGTCACAAACAAAAAACCCCCAAAACTGCCTGCTTGCAGTGAATAACTTTAGTTCTGCTTTAACCTCTTTACACCAGCCGTACGCATATATGTGTAAACAAATTACCATGCTGGGATCAATCCCAGTACAGTAGCCAGCAAGGATTGGTAAGCTCCTGGTGCATACTTGTGATCAGGAGCTTTTCGATCATGTGACAGCTGTCACAGCCAATGAGTGGTCACATGACCCGAATGCCTGCCTCTGCCTCCCAGTTTTTAGAACTCTTAAAAGGACCAGGAGGCAGTCGTGCGAAAGGGTTAAATCCCACCTGCCCAGTGGCTGCATATATATGTACAGATGGTGGGGAAAAAAGTTAAAAAGGGCATGCAGCTGGGGGAGAGTGGTAAAAATGATCCTGGAGTGCGGCTTTACAGTGGAAGTAAACCCATTTTGTATATTCGTACCTACAGGAAAGCTTATGATAAAGCGTACTTGTAAGTAAAATGAATATCTCCTAAACATGCACCATTTAGGAGATATTCAAGTGTTTTTGCAGCCAATGTATGCGCTCTAAAAATGGCATGCTCGGGCCGTTCCTTTCAGAGCACTGTGCCTTGTTCCGAGACTCCCATGTGCATGCGCAGGAGTAATGTCATCGCGCCTTGGTCAGTCAGATGGCAGGAGCTCGCGAACACGGAAGGAAGACCAGGTGAAGATGGAAGCCTCTACAGCAGTGACAGCGCACCGCTGGAGGGCTTTGTTTTAAGGTACGTTTTGCATGGTGTGCTAGTATGTGATGCATACCAGCACATGGACGTGGCTTACTACCGCTTTAACCACTTGCCCCCTTCCTGACCATTTTTTGCGATACGGCGCTGCCTTATTTTAACTGACAATTGAGAAGCCATACAACACTCACAAATAGAGCTTTCTTTGGGTGGTATTTGATCACCTGTGCATTTTCTTTTTGCGCGTTAAACAAAAAAAAAGACCAAACATTTCGAAAAAAAAAAAAATATTTTTTGACTTTTTTCAATAAAATATGTCCAGTAAAAAAAAAAAAAAAAAAAAAAATCAAATTTCATTAAATTTAGGCCAAAATGTATTCTGCTCCATGTCTTTGCTAGAAAAAAAATCCCAATACATGTAAATTAATTGGTTTACGTTAAAGTTATAGCATTTACAAATGGCAGTATATATACTGGAATTTTTTTTCCCCCTAGTAATGGTAGCAATCAGCAACTTATATAGCAGGACTGTGGCGGGCATTCTGACACTGAGTGGGAACTGTCACTGACATCCCCAGTGATACCAATACAGTGATCAGAGCTAATAAAAAGCACTGACACTGTACTAATGACACTGGGCGGGAAGGAGTTACATAAGCGGCAATCAAAAGGTTAACTGTGTGATTTTTTTTTTTTTTTTTCTAGGGAGACATGCTGCTTTGTATTTCTTTGCTGTGGGGAGAAATACACAGCAGCATGCTATTGCTTGCAGGAGAGAGACCTTTATTGTTTACTCATAGGTCTCTCCCATTAGGCTCGGTTTACATCTGTGTGGGTGGTGCCGCTGCGGGACACGCACAAATACCTGCAGCGGCACCACCCGCATAGAGAAATGCGAGACCCGCGGGAGGGTGCCATTAATTCTAATGGCACGCCGCCCACACTGGAAATCACAACCGTACTGGGAACCGAGGTTCCTGTGTGGGCTGTAATTTCCAAAGAAGTGCAGGGACTTCTTCCCTGCGTGGCACGGGAGTCCATTCAAATGAATGGGCTCTTGTACTCGCACATATGTGAACCTGGCCTTACTGTTTCTCGGCGATCACCAGGTGTCGGTGGGGAATCTCCGGCTGGGACCTGGTGATCGACTGTTGTAGCCGCCAATGGCGGTAGGGGTACGGAGGCACACGCATGCCATCTACCCAGAAATGAAAAATCCCCTATATATACTTAGATTGTGCGCCCCTTGAGGGTTAGGGACTGATATGAATGTACAATATATATGTAAAGCGCTGTGTAAATTGACAGCGCTATATAAGTACCTATAAAAATATCTATCTATCTATCACGCACAGGAGTTTGCACAGCCCTGCCGCCCTGTAGTAGTATTTCTGCTATGGGGTGATGGGGAAGGGAGTAAGGTGACCATCCTGACAGCACAGCCAGGCCTCCCTGTACAGAAATATCAGGATGGGCTCCTCAGGTGACAGCCAGCAGCCTGCTGATAGGTCACCCTGTCAGGGAGATGGGATGCCAGTGGTCCTCCTAGATCCCGGAAGGTGCTGTACTCGGTATGTGTCATCTCCCGGTGCCCCCCTCCGCTGTGACGGCACTCCCACCCTTCAGGTGTATTAGAAGAGCCCCGGATGGCAGAATATCGTCCTCTCACCTCAGCCCGGGCCACCGGCTCCGGTCTCTGCGGCAGCGGCGGCTCTCTGTGTGTCCCTTCATCCTCCTGCACGGCCCGGCTCAGTCCTGGGAGCGCACACAGGAAGAGCAGCGCCGCCAGAACTGGGAGAGGCGGCCTCGCCATGGAGCCGGGCGGTGAGCCGTGGAGCACAGGACGGGGGTTACGGCTACCGGGTGCTCGGTGTTCTTCGTCCTGTCCCAGCTCCCAGCTCACACACCCCGCGTCACTGCCATCGTCAGCTGCAGAGGATCGCCCCGCCCACGCCGCGTTGACGACATGCAGCAACCCCCCGTGTATTGGTCGGAAGGAGGTAGGGCCGCCATTTTTCTGACTACCATTGCCTGCTGAGACATATACCAAATGGGCAGAGTATATGTAATAATACAGGTAATGGAGACAGAGAAAGCCGAGAACTACTCGTCTAGAGATGACAGCGACTCGGGGGAAAAAAAAAAAAAAAAAAAGTGACTAATACGTTCTGGGGAATACAGCGAATCAGGAAAAAGTATAGAATCAGGTGACCAATAAAGAGGAAAGTGGAAATGCTCTGGAAGCCTAGGCACTGTTTCATTGTAGGTGTTGTTATACAGAGGTCTTCTCTTACTATTATATCCAGTGAAGACAATGCCTTTTCTGACACTTTTAATGTTTACATGTAACAATCAGTATTTTTTGCTAGAAAATTTCTAAGAACCTCAAACATTATGTATTTTTTCTTGAAAGCAGAGGCCCTAGAGATGAAACTTAACTGATGCCAGGACCTTCTTTTCAGTCCCTTGATTGGACACACACAGACCCTTTCCATTATCCAATAGACAATGCAGTCTAAGTACCCTCATAAACCTGTTAAATTCGCAAGCTTGAGCAACCTAGAAAACAAACAGAAATCTTGCCACACCACTCCCATCGGAAATACCTTCATTGGGAGTCTGCAGAATACACATCTTCATCTCTTCCTCTTGGTAAAATCCATTATACCATTGTATTTCTAATATAATAACAGTACAGCCAGAATAAAGACATATTTACCTGCCTCAGGTAATTAGTGATGTTTTGAACCCAAACACAGTTACCCTAGGAGTACCAGGAGCAGAAACAACCCAATTCCTCTCCTAGGGAAACTGGGCATTCAGAACCTATCATATTTATATTCATTGCGAAGGTAAATCAATGCTGGATGATAATATGCAAGTCAGCAGGCTGTAACCTGTAGGCATTCAAAGATATTAATACCTATAAAAAATTAATCTGGAAAATGGTCGTATACTCAGTGACATCCCAGCAGCCACACCTTAGACCATATGATTGGTCAAGTAATTTCTGTCATTACTCGCTTGAGGTCCAGAAAAAGGGGACTGCAACCACAGTGGTCAGCTCTTGTTTAAAGGATAGTTTCACCTTTTGACCAAAAAGAATAAGTGCACATGTTTTTGCAGGTAAAAAAATGTGCATTTATTATTTTTAGTTGCAAGAGCCTATAAAGAGCCTGCCTGTGTGGCCAGAATTCTGGCCATTGCAGTAAATTAACACTCAAGTGCTTGACCTGCCTAGTTTTAATGCACATTTAGACTTTTTTACATACATAAAGCATTTTTTCTGCCCAAACCCATCTGTCCTCCAAGATATGGAATTTACTGGTCGGTCAAAATTCCTCTTATTTATTGGTATAGTACAGGATTTGAGCAAAGTATTAAGAGACCCTGGGGCATCCCAAAGCACTGAATAAGAAGGGTGAGCAACAACTAGGCAAACAAGACTGTGCCAACAGGCCCAACAACAACAAGGGTCAAAGGACTCAACTTCAAAGTTCTGCTGCAAGAACCTTGCAGGCCAACATTGCATCTGCAGAAGTCTGGACAGCTGGTAGAACTTTGAAAAGGTATGAAGGATCAGGTGGTGGCATAACACAGCTGGGCTACAGAGACCTGGTGCCGGAATGCTCAGGAAACTCCCACAGATCTGGTGGAATGGGCGCAAAGCACAGAAGGAGATTTGACCTTCAGAGTGTAAGGTCTAGTGATCAGATTTCTTATACATTGAGCAATGGTGAAGTTGAAAGCAAGTTGTCCCTTGTGAGATCCTGCAGACAGGACAAATGGAGAATCTGTCTTCTGGATCAAAAGCTGTTGCTTTGAGGTAGACTTCTATGGCTCTGACTACATCCAGGCAATGAAGAGAAATTTACTTTTGATGCTTTGAAGGGCATAAGGAGGGCAGGTCTATGTCTTTCTTTTGGTGGAAGACACCATCGTATAAAGAAAGGATGGTGCTGGATGTAAGAATAACTTATCTTTGTGAAGGATGAGGAATGATTCCTTACAAGAGTAGGAACTCAGAGGAACATTCGAGACAGATGTGACAGCAACCAAAAAGGTCACTTTGCAGGAGAGGTTATTTAAGGGAATATCCCTGATGGGTTCAAAGGGTGGTTTCTGCAGGGCACAGAGAACCAAGTTTGGATCCCAAGGAAGCAGAGGGTTCTGCAAAGGGGGTCTTAATGAGAGATAAACCTTGAATAAAAATTTTGACAAGGGAGAGCGGAGCCAGATATTTTTTTTTAAAAAGAATGTACAAGGCCGAAACCTGTCCTTTCAGAGTGCTTAACTTCCAAGTTCTAGTCCCAAATATGAGGCACAGAGTAACCTCTGGGATTGAAGTGCTGCGCTCACACCAGGCAAAAAAGGATTTTCAGATAATCCAATAGTAGACCTTTCTGGAAGTTGCTTCCCTTGGTTTTAGTAAGTTTGGGTGGAAGACAGTGCTGGACTGGTGGAGGGTAGAGAGGGAATTGCTTCCAATGGGTTATATCTTCATTGTAGGTGGTAGCTGATAGACTTCGTTTGGATCTAGGGCTGCTACCTTTCTGATAACGACAATGGGGGTGTCACCATAGGGAACTCTTGGGTGATTGGAAAGTAGCATCTGGTGTCCAGAAAAATGTTTCACTTAATGGTTTTTTTAGTTGTTTATTGAAGATAGAAGTATACAAGTAGAGCAAATGCATTTCGGGGGAATTGCCCCCCACCCCTTCTTCAGGGCTAGTATGTAGAGAGAAAGATACATGGTAAAAATTCTTAGCCAGTCTACAGAATTTGTACAAAGTGCAAAGCAAAAATCCGTGTTGTTATATTGTATATAGTTTCTAGATAAAGTGGAGTCCCCATTTGGTCTCTAAAAACATATTGCGAATGATATGTAAAATAAAAACATATCACATTATGAATATAGTTTTTCCTCTTGTATTATTTAAAGTTTAATGTTTATGTTTTTATTTTTAAATACCATTTGCAATATGTTTTTAGAGACCAAATGGAGACTGCATTTTATCTAGAAACTATATATAAGAACACAGATTGCACATTGTATAAGTTCTATAGACTTCTTTTCTGGACACCGGGCCAAGTTGCTTTTAGTAAGCTAATAATGACAGACTCTAAGACCCCTCTGTCTATTAAGACCAGGGCTTCAACAGCCAAGTTGTTAAAGCCAGAGACTGAGAAACAGCAGAGAACAGAGGGCCCTGAGATAGTAGGTCTGGCCTGTTAGGAAGAGGCCACGTGATGTCTCTCAGAAGTCTGAGTATGTCTGTGTACCAGGTTCTTCTGGGACAGTGTGGTGCACTGAGTATCACCGTCTTCATCTCTTGCTTTATCTTTTTTAGCAGACAAGGAAGAATTCTTACTGTGGGGAAGGCATAGGTTAGCTTCAACTGAGACCAGGGAATTACCAAGGCATCCAGCTAGCACTAGAGGTTCCTTGATCCTTGCCAAAAATGAGGTAGTCTGTTGTGGAATCTGGAGACTAAGTTGTCTAAGTGCTCCATTTATGACAGGTTGAATATGTCTCGGTGAAGAGCCCATTCCCCTTGGTCTAAGCGGTGCCGAGTGAGGTAGTCCACTTTTACTAGGATGTGGATCTCAAAGATTGCTGGAAAGTGAGTCACTGTCCATGAGATTATCTGGCTTGCTCCTTTTTAAGGTTGCATGACTTCTGGTCCCCTTTAACTGTACTCTGATTGGGTGTCCTTGCAGAAGGGGGGTCCAGTGTTGCAGAACCACCTTTAATGTTCTGAGCTCCAAGATGTTGATGGGGAGCTTGGTTTCCACATGTGACTATGTTCCCTGGACTGTGAGGGACTAGAACATTTCTCTGTTCACTTTCCAGTGATATGGAAGAAAAAACTTCCCTATTGTTAAGGTTGGACTGGAGATCCACTAAATTAGGGAATTCTTTGCTTGTCTGGAAAGGAACATGGGTAGGGTTGGGAGAAAGAGCATGTTTGTTCCAGGTCGACAAGATGTTGTGTCGGAGAGCTCTCGAATGAAATTATGCAAATTCAAAACTACCATGTGGCTAGATCTCTCATGTATCATGGAGAATCTCACTGCGGAATGTCTTTTAGACCTCAATTCTTAAAGGGGTCCTTCTAGGAGAAGGTCAAGTAAACAACCTGTGACCTGGATACCTTAAATTCTTAGAAAGATAAGAAGAGGTGCTAGGACCTTTGAGAATGCTCCTGGAGCAGAGGATAGGCCACAAGGCAGTGTGACAACCTGGAAGTGATTGTCTCCTACGGCTAAGCATAGAAAATGCTGATGAGGTGGATAAATAGGCATATGCAGATAGGCAACTTGGATATCTACAGATGCCAGGTATTCCCTTTGTCTCAGACAAGCAGTAACTGACCCGGATTTAATCAAAAATTTGATTTGTTGAGAGATTTACATCCAGAAAAGATTTGGTACCATGTATACAAACATTTGAACCTGTCTAGAGGGGGTACTGGCAAAACTACTCCGAGACAAGAGATGATCGAGGGCATTCAGAAGATTTGACTGCCCTTGGGAGGTTTTTGGTTTATTTTAGAGAAGAAATCAGTGAGGTAAGTTTTGAACTCTATTTAGTACTCCTTTGAAATCACTGATTGAACCAACCGGTCTGGAATATCTGTGACCCAGAGAGAGAAAAACTGTAACAGACATCTCTCAACTCTTAGAAGTGAGGGTGCCTCTTCATTGGGAAGAGGGCTTTAGGGAAGACTCAGTGGACTTTGTAGCCCAAGTCTTGCACTGAAAGGAAGGGCTGAACTTAGGTTTGGAAGTTGAAGTCTGAGTAGAGAGATT